ACATTAATTGCCTAGCGTAATGCTCGTGTCTTTTTAGATGAGTATCCAATATATGTGACATGATGCCGGAAGTCACCTAAATGCAATCTACCTTTTTATCTCTGCCACCGTCAACTGATTCCCTCCTGGGGTACGTGCTTGCTTGTAGCTCCTTGGTGCTTTCCTGCTCGGGTTTGCTCGACACGGCATCCCCCCACCCCCCAAGCCGCCGCAGCTTTGGCCAGATCACGTCCCCAACTTCCCATCACACACTTGACGAAAAAGGTCTCCGTCACACAGTATCCAGAAGTCGATGATGCCGGCGCGGACAGAACCGACCTCATGTCCCCTCGTGCTCGCCCCCATTGACTTCCACCACGAGCTTTCTACAGCCGAACTGTCCGCCCGACTTCACCCAACTTTGCTCGACGAACGAAAGTCAGCTATGTAGTGACCCGGCCAGCGATGCAGGCGGCAGCGTCGGCGGCAAGTGGTGGTAAATAATGACCGTCTTCAATCCCGGCCTTGCCGCCCCCTTGAAAGCCGCTCGCCACGCCGCGTTCCTATATAACTCGCCGCGCCGAGCCTCGAGATAAGTTGTGATACCCGGCGAACCTCTGAAGTCAGTATTTCGCACCACACAGCGCCCTTTATTACGAGGCTGAGCGGCAGGATAATGCCAAAACACGCTAGACCTTAAATCGGCACCAGCAAAAGTGTCCTATATGCCGACTCCAGTTAGTGATTACAGCAACAGTATAACTCAAATGGTATTTCGTCAACACGTTAACACTGCACCGGCTTAAGATTGGAAGCAAATTAAGGCTAGGTATGGCTATGGCAGGGCACAGAATGAGCAGTTCACAAATGGCCTTCACACCCTTCACATTAGCTGGAAAGTTTCAATTCCGAGCCAATACATATGCTCAAAGTGATTCAGGCATTGCTGTGGCCGAAACCATGCGAAATCAGATAGCATCTACCTTCACTGCCCAGCTGTTCAAGATAATTGCTAGTGCCTCTCTTCACATTGAATACAGTCTGCCGCTTTCTTAGTGGTTCCACGCTCGAATATTTCCATTTCGTTGAAGCATTCTGATCTGATCATTCGTTTTGATCATTCGTTTATACGTGTCATCGGTTCGAAGTAGGCCGCATCAGGACCGTAAGTCCGAAACGTTCTGTGACAGCTAATGTGAAAATCATGTTAAATGCTGGTAAAAGTCGCCCTCGTTGGATGGGAAACATCGTGCAGAGATACGCGCTGGTGTTGAAATCCTTGACCAGCCACAGCTGCTTTAATAGCCTCGGGATGGCTAGGTAGGAGATGTACTAGCAAACGTCTCGAATTTCACTTGATGGGAAATAACGGCTCAGAAGTACTCGAAAACGATTATTGAAAATTCCGTACCGTGGTGTCCTTCAACAAGCAGATACCATGGCGCGTCCTCATGGGGACTTCACAGTGGGATTGCCAGACCCAGTCCTAGCCAGGTTCGGACCTTCCTGGCGCCACCCTTGCACGGAAAGCAGACTTCAAACGGCGGCCGATCTTCGACCGTTCTGACGTAACAAGACGCCAAGCGGCACGTGCCATGCCCTCCGGCGGTAGCCTCTGATGCCTCAGGCGCTGCTCCCGTCGCCGGAAGGCTGTCTGAAGCATGGCTTCGGGTGGCGATGTCGCAGCACCGTGCACTGCCTATGTATGAACAATATCAAAGCGCTCCTGCGCTCCCTCCCGCGGGGAACTCTGCCCACTCACGAAGCATTCACGCGGAGCGGTGGTCTGAGCCGGCGGAAGCTCTCGTCGACTCCGGCCGACTCCCGACGCCCACCGCCGTCCTACGGGGATCACGGTCGACTCCTGGAAACCGCCACGGTCTACAGGAGACCCCCACCGGCTTCCGGAGACTTCCACTGACTCCGGGATCGATCCGAGCTTCGAGTGCGGCCGCAGTCACGCCCACGGCGTTACAGCGCAGTCGTGACGCGGATTCGCCGCCAGTGCGACGTTGGCGACACTTCGCCTGATCTCGCTGGACGCGTTTAGTCGCTTGAATCACCCGCTCGCCGCCATCTCGGCCGTGACCGCCCCCCGGGGGCGAGGCCGCAGACCTGGGAGCCAGTGAGACGCGGCCAGTGGTGCAGTGGTCTTGGAAGGGGGGGGGGGGGACTGGACGGGCGGTCCGGCCGGGGCTGGGGAAGGCGGACTGCTCGCGGCCGTTTCGAGTAAACTTGGTAGTCATCTGGGGGTGGTGGTGCTGGTGGTGGCAGCTAGACATTCCTGGCGTGGAGGAATCGCTTGGAACGCTTCCCTTGGAAGGTATAAAACCCAGCGCGGCTCCATCACCGTCAGCAGGCACAAGTTGTGTCGGCTTCCCAGCTCAGGGAAAATATGCGCAGTCAGTCGATACTGTATTCCTCACATTTTACGAAATCCGCACGGCACCCTGAGATGAAGCATGATTTTACCGGAGCTGGTTTCCTCATCCCAAGACCAGACCTCGTGTTAAGGGCCTTCTGATGCATGCAAGGGCATCCCTATTCAAAACAGGATTCTTTCAATCGACAATGATGGCCTCCAACTTCTGGAAATGCCCTCATTTTTCCAAACTTGGGCTCCTGATCCGGAGCAGCGGCCCTCTGACAAAATTTCAGGGTTCTCCTGGCCCAGAAGAGGGGCTCCCTGATACACAGAGCGGGCCTTTTAATCTAGAACAGGGGCTCCTAGATCATAATATTGGCCTTCCGAGTCAGGAAAGGAAACTCCTGAACACAAAATAGGGCTTCCTCATCCAACTGGATGAGGAGGCCATATTTTGTAAGTTACATCCAGTCAGTTGCAAAAAACTGTAGTTTCCTGAAAGGGGTCCGGCAAGTTTGTGCGGTCAGTTACATGCTTCTGCTGCCTCTGCTTCTCCTTTCCGTCCTACAGCGCCACCCCTTGGCTTACCCACACCTTTGATATGAGAAAGAAAGGCCTTCAGCTCCTGGATTTTCGGCAACGTGACTTAAGAGCTTTAATGTTGAGTCAACGACCTTCAACATACCAAAAGGCACTGGTTTCACGAAATTGTAATGCTAAATAGCAATTATATTGAAGGTGCTCAATATTTCTAGGCTGTGCTCATCCGCAAGACTTCCGAGGACATTTCTGCTCCCCTCCCCGTCCTCCTGCCTGCCCACGAGCCAGTGTGAGCTGAATAGCATTCCTTTCCAGCGATCTCGCAGGGACATGTCACGAGCAGGCACGCTGGCGGCCGCTCCACTAAGATGACGTCACACAAGAGGGATGAGACGGGGAGGGGCGGTCGATAGATCCGCGGGACCTCCAGTGCCCCATCAGAGGCACGCTGGAAGCGGGGGTCTCATGATAATTGCACGAGTCCCTGTGAGGAGGCATTACCGTCGCCATCCATCTCACAGATCGCCTGCGGCGAGGGCCTAAACACTCAAGTAGTGATCGCATGCCCCGCAACCTCACTGCCAAATGTCGGGCGTGCTACCCCTGCGGTGACGTCACCAACCGGAGACGGCTGGCTGGGCTGCGCCGAGTCACAGGCTCTGTTGCCTTGCAGGTGTGAGCGGCAGTCGAGACGGTCGGCTCAAGGCAGCAAGATAAGACGACGCAGGAGCCGCTCAACAGAACCGCAGCATTCTGACTGGTGACGTCACATCGTCAGTGACGTCAGAGCATCTGTGTTAACGGCAACGCCAGCGTCGTCACATCATCAGCGACATCGCACCGCCAGCGGCTCGCGCCAATCGTGATTTCACATCGCAACGGACATCACATTGCAGCATCACCTTTACCGCTGACGTCTTTTCGTCAGCAAACGCGTCGGAGCCGACGCCATCCTGGTGACCCCGTCCGCCGCGGTCGAAGCCTGTCGGCCGGTGCTTTACTGCAGATCGGGTCGGCGGCCGCATACAAATCGCGTTGAGCGGTCGCGATCGCCTCGTCGTTGTAGCCGCGGGCAATCGGCGACGACATTAGATCGATTTACGCCAAGCGATACGGTGGGGTCTGTTTGGACGCCGCACCCGCGTGTCGCGCTGCGTACCGGTGTACGACAGCAGCGAGTTACGACGCGTTGCCGGAGAGCCGCGCTCAAGCACGACCCCTTCCCTCCTCCACGCTTCGTCCGAGGTGGGAGGGTGAGCCAGTGACGTCACTGCTGCGGATGCGCTGAGTGACTTCTCAGAGCTCTCGACTGACGTGCAATCGTCCGCCCGCCGTCGTCTGTCCGCGGCGCGGAGGTGGCGTGGGCTATTCCTCACGTGACTCAGCGAGGCACCTCCGTCGGAAAGATCCCCATTCACCCGAGCGGCAGTGCCGCGCGTGTGTGGCCGCCAGCCCTCAACTTTCCAGGAACGGCTCTGATTGCCAGACTGGAATAGCCGGCCGGAGGACAAAAGGCGGTCGCATCGCTAATCATTCAGGAGGTCAGCAGGTCGGCCGACGCGCCGACCGCGCTCTTAACCTGAGGCCGTGGAAGGCCGAGGGGTCAGTCGGGGCCCACCCGCCTGTGTTCCGCGATCCAGAGTGACCTGGTTGCCGTGAGCGTGGCGACACTGCTGGGCAGCACCTTTGACGTCATTATTATCCTTCCACTGCCCTATTTCAACCTTACTAGACCGACCGTACCCTCCAGAGCTCAATATCGGCGTCTGTGCCCTGACTCGTGCTCAGTCGAGCGTAATATATTCTCATTGCCCTCCCACACACGCACACACACGCCATCCCATCCGTACTCGGTGATGTGGCACGAGAACTTATAGGCCCAATCCAGGCCTGGACCTCTGCGACTCGGTTCTGAGCTTCAAATCCCAGTCCCTAGCCCGGTCAAGCGACGTTAACCTCCAAAATTGATACTTTGCCTGAGTCTAACCCCCATGGCCCCGCTGTAACCCAGTGACCCTTCTCTGACCTTGCGACCCTTATCTGGCCTCGTGATCCTCATCTGACCCCGCGAACGTCGTCTGACCCCTCCCTGGCCCTACTGACCCTGCGGTCAGCCATGGACCTGTGCCTGCCAGAGGCCGACGTCGACACGGCCGTCAACACCACCGATTCGCTGTACGAGGTCTCGCCGGCCGTCATCACCGTCCTCTCGCTCTTCTACGGGCTCATCTCGCTGCTGGCCGTGTTGGGCAACGGCCTGGTGCTCTGGATCCTGTGCACCAGCCGCCGCATGCGCACCACCACCAACTACTTCATCGGCAACCTGGCCGTGGCGGACATAGTGATCGGCATGTTTTCCATCCCGTTCCAGTTCCAGTCGGCTCTGCTGCAGCGCTGGAGCCTGCCCGACTTCATGTGCCCCATGACCGAGTTCTTCACCACGCTCAGCGTCAGCGTAAGTGCCTGCTACGCCTTGTCACGAGCTGCCGTGCCGTTTTGTTCTTTGTTGTTTTTTGTTTTACCATCGCCCGCAGGGGTGGCCCTTAAGCCATGGACGACTGGCTGCGGGCATCACAGTTACCCCCTACAACTTTCGGAACTGACCTCTGAACTGCACAGGGCAGGCCCACAAGTTGTAAGTACCGAATAGGCGATCAGTTCGGCACGTCTGGAGGGAGCAAATGTAGTGTTATGTAATGCTGCTGCGTCATGACGTCAGCAGTGACGGTTTGCATGGCGATTTTTTACTTACTGATCGGTGCCTTGTAGTTTCCTTTCTCGCTTTGAGCTGCTCCAATGTAATTCATCGGCTGGTGTGACTGTTTGTCAGTCAGGTTCAGTCATATCATGCGAGGTCACATGGTCACCATCAGAGGTCTTGCGAGATCAACTCGTGAGTGACAAACGAAAGTGATTACTACGCCTATTCGTGAAAAAATCTATACAAAAGTGAGTACAACCGACACGTTTTCAAAACGAATGGCTGCTGTAGATCAAGTGAACTAGGACAGCCCAATCATGTCAGGTAAGCTTTCCTGACTATATCTAGCGTGACTGTGACGTCGCTGGAGCTTGACCTGACGGCATCTTCGCCTGTCTGGCCCTTGAGCTGGCTGGACCAGGACCAGGACCCTGGATCTTTGTTAGCACCATAGTGTGGCTCTCAAGTGCACACAAGAAACACATTTCCCTTTGCTGCCGGTTTTAGAGCTTAAAAACCGTCATTCGGCAAACTAAAAGGTCATGGAATCACTACAAAATATTTTTAGGAGGTGTTTCGTCACACCTGGTGTCACCAGGCACGCGACATATGTTAGTTCATTGATCCCTGGTTAAAATTAATTAGGGCTATCGAGTGTCATTCGAACTGTCCGGATCCAACGATTTCATCCCGAGATACCGAGGATGATTGTCTTTGGTTTCTCAGGATAGTTTCTAGGCGGCATGTTACCTATGGTGGTTCAGAACTTGTAAGTAAGTGTAAGTAAAGCACAAGCCACCATTTTTCAAAAGTCATCGTGTGGTCTTTCATGACTCGCCAGTTTTCATGTCAGCGTTGCACTCTATTTATGTAACAAAGGTCTTCCAAATCAAAAGTAGGCATCGTCTTGCACATTATACGTCCTATTTACTTACGTGCTTTAAAATCACGGCGGCTCTATCGATCTACGAAGCTGACTGCAACAGGCATACCGGTATGTTTCCAAATTCAGTACCGGTGTGTTTCCAACGAAGTCTTTTGATGAAGGCGGTGCAGACACTAGCTTATACTACACAAATGAATAAAATAATCCTGATGGGACCACTCAAACCTGACAGCCCCATGCATTCCTTCATCGTTTGACAATGCAGATATATTGTTCGATGGACTGCAAGGACTTAGTACTTCCCAAAGTACGTCGTCTTCGCTGAGGACTTTGTCTTGGGCACCTTGCTGTCAAGTGTAGGCAGTTCGACGACACTTTGTCACCTTTTATCGTAAAACATCCGATCCTCACCAGAGTACTAACCGGCTTATGAAACGCCCCAGAGAAGCCCGTGCCGAATGGCTCAATTCCTTCGCCCGGCTCAATACTCGCAGCCTTGACCACTTATCCAATGAAGTCGATGAAGCAAGACGAAGTAAATCTGTCAAAGCGCGCATTACGCGAAACAAATGTCTGACGGATCGGGCTGGTGATCCATAACCGGAGAAAAGAGCCGGGGAGGGGGGAGGAGGAGGGGGGGGGGGGGGTCCGGTCGGCCTGCCAACCTTCACTGGTATCCAAGCGCACTCCGCGTTTGTCTCCGGGCCGAATCCGGCCCACGCCATCCGTCTCCATTTCAGTGACGCTGGCTGGTGAGTTTCTACGGCCAGCGGCGGTCGGCGCCCCCGGGCTCCCCAGTCACAGACTGGGCGGAGCCATCCTATAGAGCCGATTTTGTCCGCGAATGTCATGTGGAGCTAACGAAGGATCCTCGGGAGAGATGTGCGGCATCGTTTTTGCGACCGTCGACCGCGACTGCCGACCGCCCATGCGACCCCTCTTGGGAACCGAAGCTCTCATTTCAGTGGCCTCCTCGAATATCTAGCATGAGGGCGTGGAGAGGCAGGAGAGAGGGCGGTCGGGGGCTCGGGAGGTTTATGAGCCCAGTGGTAGCGTCAAGCGACAGGAACAGCCTCTAGTGTGACCCCAGCCACCCCGGTAGCCTAAGAGTGCATTCTTTCGTTGGGGTAATTCATTACTCATTTTAAATGAGAGACTCCCCGAGGAAGGAGGCTCTCTAGCCACACACTTCACCGACTGGATCAGTCCACGGATTATGGATTAATCCGCGGGCCAGATTGGGCCGGATCATAAATTTCCGCCAAAATGTGGATTGGGACCGGATCGGATTTTTGAATTTGCCAGCTCACCTGGATTGGACGGATTGGCAACCAATTAAATGAAAATGGTTACGACATACCCCTCAAATGCTCAGTGAAGACACAAACGCAGAAAAATGCCTTTCAACCAGTAAAAGTTTTCAAACACAGTAGTTTCAATCTCAAGCAATGCACAAGCAGGCTACACAGTACATAACTCAGCCACATATTCCGCAAACACGTTTTCCGATGAAAGGTTACATTGACAACTTAATACGAAACAGTGACGCTCATATATGCTGCCATGAAAAATTTCATCTCTTATTCCTTTCAAAGTCGCTAAAATGTCTGGTAATGTAATAGCTTACATTATCATAAAAAGCTGGCACTCCTCTTGATCTTGCCAGCAATCCCATTTAACCTGAGTGGGCGACATTGCATTTCAGAGTTTAAAAAAGCTGGCAGGGTCGTGTTGTTGGTAGAATGCGCGCCACAATGTTTTGAATTTGGATTTTTTTGTTTGTTTTTGGATTCTGTCTGAGGAATGTTAAAAACCCAACTGCCTCTCAAGACCACAATTTCTGTTGACCTAGTCAGCCAAATTTGTGAGTTCGTGACAAAACCAGCACCAGTTTAATTATGCTGCTTCAGCTGATCCATTTCCACGTGTCTGCGACACCAGCGATTGTCGCATTACCCACTGCCCCTGATTAGTGTATGAAGATGTCCAAAGATGTTAGGTAATTGATCATGCCTCAAGGTTATTGAAACCTGAAGCAGGTTGGCTCACGATGTGGTGGTATTTGTAAATCATTGGCCGAAATCATTGCAATTTTGCCTGATTTGTTCTGAGGTTCATGCAAAGCTGCGTTCTCAGCAGACAACAAGCTATGCGAGGTGTCCTAGCTGTGTGAAGTGTCCTAGCACCCACTGGTTTGTTGCAACTTCCTAGCACCCACTGGTTTGCGGGGACTTCCTTGCACCCACTGATTTGTGGCGACTTCTTGTTCCAGTACCCACTGGTTTGTGGCGACTTCTTGCATATTTTTGAAAAAGGAAACCTAAAGACTGGATTATGATGCCGCGATGAACAATGTTTGCAAGTTAAATTGCAAGAATTTTTCAATGTGGAAGCCGATTTAACAACTTCACTTAAAACATTTTTAGGGATAATAATTGTTTGGCCGGATTAGATTTGATTGAGAACTTTGGGAAAAGCGGACTGGGGTCGGCATGGATCTGGATTAGTCGTGCTAAACCGAACCGGATGCTGGAATTCAATCGGTGAAGTGCTCTTTTTCCAGCTCCGGGCAGCGATTCACGAAACCATAATGTCGGTCTCATCAATGTCCAATCTTGACTATAATACACAATATTGCAATATGTATTGCTGCGTGGAAGGCACATAGTAAGAATATATCGCTCACACATACAAGCATATAATTCAAAACGACTGGATGAAAAAGGGAATGTTAAAAAAGAGTGAGTTTGAAAGATCTTTCTTGGTCACAGAAGCGAATCCTCGCGAAAACCACACAGCATACGACAATAACTCACTACTTCACACCCGTAATGAGCTGCCCTTGGGGCTCTGCTAGTGCTCATTCCACCCACGTGAATACCGTGAGACACGTGCAAAGTACAAGCCGCGCACGTGGCAGGTATTTATGTACACATCACACGCGTTTGCACTTATCGTCGCTCTCTGCCGTCGTTAGTCGCCATTAGGCCGCTGGGCCTTCACGCCCGCCGGATGGAGCGGCGAGATTCGCGCTCTGAGGATTGCTTCGAGCATTTCCAGCAGCATGAGCATTACAAGCATTGCCGCATTACCGATATTGCGAACGTTGCGGCATTACGAGCATGGCCAGCATGCGAGCGTTGTGCCCGGCGAGCGTGGCGTACCAGCGGGTCACGTTAGCTGGTACGTGCTGCTGTACGTGCTGCTTCGCATGCTGCCGTGGTTCTGCGCGTGCTGCCGTCGGTGCTGCAGTGCTTACTGCTGTGCGTGCTGGTGTGCAGGCTGCTGCGCGTGCTGCTGGTTCGTGCTACTGATACGTGCTGCTGTGCGTGCTGCTGTGCAGGCTGCTGCGCGTGCTGCTGGTTCGTGCTACTGGTGCGTGCTGCTGTGCGTGCTACTATGCGTGTTGCTGTGCATGTTGCTGTGCGCGCTGCTATACGTGCCGCTATGCGTGCTGCTGTGCGTGCTGTTGGTTCGTGTTACTGATGCGTGCTGTTGTACGTGCTGATATACGTGCTGCTGTGCGTGCTGCTGCATATGCTATTGTGCGTGCTGCTGCACGCGCTGTTGTGCATGCTGCTGTGCGTGTTGTGCGCTGCTGATAGGTTCTGCTGTGCGCGCTGCTGCTAAGAGCGCTGCGAGAAGGGATGTTGGCAGCAGCTGTCCGCCTGACTGATTCGTCAGACTCATAAGGGCTGGATGGGATGTTGGCAGCAGCTGTCCGCCTGACTGATTCGTCAGACTCATTAGGGCTGGATGGGATATTGACAGCAGCTGCCTGCCCGACTGATCCGTCAGACTCATTAGGGCTGGATGGGATGTTGGCAGCAGCTATCCGCCTGACTGATTCGTCAGGCCCATTAGGGCTGGATGGGATGTTGGCAGCAGCTGTCCGCCCGACTGATTCGTCAGACTCATTAGGGCTGGATGGGATGTTGGCAGCAGCTGTCCGCCTGACTGATTCGTCAGGTTCATTAGGGCTGGATGGGTGGCCGTTGCTATCTCCCGACGCGGGTCTCCAGGCGGCCCGGCATCAGGCCAATACCCGCTCGTAACCATGGTAACCATGGTGACCAGCACTGTTAGCATGCGCGAGGGCGGCGCCGCTAGTTTGAGGGCCCCATGGGCAGGGAAACTTCAGAAAACTGGGGGGCGAAAACCAAAGCATCTGGAATCGTTTTGGTTGCCGTGGAACGCTGTCGAGCTAGGGCTAATTTCGCTTCTGAATGGCAGAGGCAAGCTCTAGTTTCATCAAGTTAGGGGGGCACTTTTGTCACTCCTCCCCCTCCCTTCCGCCTATCCCGATCCCTCTTCCTTGCTCTTGAGCCGCGCCGCATTCGCCGCCCCTGCACTGACGGAGAGTGCTGTCACCTCCGTCGCGGCTGAATTACATCGTTGTGTTGCATCGTGTGGTGTTGTGTTGTGATGTGTTGTGTTGTGTTGTGTCGTGACGGCGTGTGTGGCGGCTGGCCGGCCGGCAGGGTTGCTGCGGTGACCAGGACGAGAAGCGACCCCGAGTCGCTGCGCGACCAGGCAGAACGTGACCCTCACTGTTAATGCGATGCGACGTGGTGTTATCCGACCAGACTGGTGCTAAGAAATCATGCTAACGCCATCTGGACAGGCTTATCATACCTGTTCAGGCTTGTGCTAAGGGATAATGCTAACGTTGTCGGGCCAGCCGTATATTGCCTGTTTAGAGTAGTGCTAACAGATCATGCTAATGTCGTATGACCAGATTATTACTATGTGACCAAACTAGTGCAACCTGCCCATGCTTATGCTATCTGACCAGACTAATGTTACCTGACCACCATGAAATGTCTGAACTGACCAATTTGATATGACCTCGTGCTAACTGGCACTGGCAGGCTAATGATATTTGGTCAGACTTGCGCTATCTTATCAGGCGAGCACTATTTGACCGGAGCTATATTGTTTCAACTAAAGAATACGATCTGTCCAGTCCAACTGGGCTCGGCGAGAACGGACACGACCCAGCCCGCCTCGAAAGATACTACATATGAGTTGACCCATGCTGACCTGACCTGACCTGACCTGATTTGACGTGACCAAACCCTACTCGACCTGTTTCAGGTCAGCGTGTTCACTCTGACGGCCATCGCCATAGACCGGTACAGAGCCATCGTCCACCGTCTGATCAACCACCAGTCGCGATTACGCACCAAGGTCATCATAGTCACCATCTGGATACTCGGCCTCAGCCTGGCTCTGCCTCAGGTGCTCTGGCTTCGCGTCTGCCTCTACTGGGATGAGGCCATCCACTCGCACAAGGTCAGTACAAGGTCAGACAGGCCCGCCTCCGGTGCTCTGGCTCCGAGGCTGCTTCTACTGGCATAACGCCATCCACCCGCACAAGGTCAGTGCGAGGACAGACAGGCCCGCCTCAGACGCTCTGGCTCCGAGGCTGCCTCTACTGGCATAACGCCATCCACCCGCACAAGGTCAGTGCGAGGACAGACAGGCCCGCCTCAGACGCTCTGGCTCCGAGGCTGCCTCTAATGGCATAACGCCATCCACCCGCACAAGGTCAGTGCGAGGACAGACAGGCCCGCCTCAGGTGCTCTGGCTCCGAGGCTGCCTCTACTGGCATAACGCCATCCACCCGCACAATGTCAGTGCGAGGACAGACAAGCCTGCCTTTATCGGAGTAACCGTGTCCGCTGGCAAAAGGTCAGTAAAGGTCAGATAGTCTTGTCTCTACTGGGTTAGCGTTGTCTTCGTAGGCCAAGGCCAGTGTACGGCTAGGCGTACTGGCTGTTATTGGAATAAGCTTTTAGCGCATTTGTGAGAAAAATTATGCGTATATTTAAGACAGTACTAATAGCCTTATTCCTAGTAGAATAACCAGAAGAAATGAGAGATAAATGCCGATATGTCGGCCACATGTGGTAGTAAAAACGAATTTTAGCAATGAATTAAAAAGTGCCTGCCGATTCTACTCTACTTTGAGTTCCTTTATGAGACAGCGACCCGAAGTTTTTACAGGTCATCAACATTCGTGGGATTGAGCATGGCGCAACTGCCTGCCATTATTACGACTCAGTGCATATCTGACTAGAAATTGAAATGCGTGAAAAACACGTGTACATGCAGACAAAGTCAAGTAAATGGGCATCACGCGTCAGTCACATATGCAAGCGATTTCACTTAAACAGGCCTCACGCATCACGCGTCAGAAATCACTCATGCATTTTAAGCTGTTTACATATGGGTGATGCCGAACGTTTGAGACTAAGGACTATTTTAAGCTAACACTCGTCAAGCATCAAAACACCACTGACAAGCGCATGATTGGCCATGATGAGTTCTGTGCGTTAGGTCTGGCTGCCTACTTCTAAGAGGAACATATTCAGGTACTTTCCTGTCTGGATGATCATGGGCTTTGTGGATGACTTTGAACTGTTAACGGCTAAAATCCAGGGGGGGGGGGGGGTAAGGGCGCTCTACCCCTTTTAGGGCTCAGATATCTACAGAGCAGAGGACCACCTAGACAAGAAAAGACGTGAATATTCTCACAAGAAGTCGGCAACCAAACCGTAACGTACAGGGCTCACCATAGTCAATTAAGCGAATGTGCTTAGTGCCTTGATGTGTGATGCGTGCTGGTTTAAAGTCGGTTACGTGTATGGCTGATGCCTGACGCGTGATGCGTGATGTTTCATTAACTTAAATCGTTTGTATGCATGCGTGATGCGTGATGCTTGATGTCTGCGTAGTTGAAATCGATGGCATGTATGACTGACGCGTGATGCGTGATGCATATTTTCTTGAGTTTGTTTGCATGTAGCGTATTTTTTACGTATCTTAATTCTTGGCTGGATATGCAATGTATCGTGATAATTGTTAACACTTGCTCCTTGTTTAATTCTCTAGATGTTGGTGTCCTTTAAAGCTATAGCTCGCTGTTTAAAAGGAAGCTTGAAGAATCGAATACAATCGGCAAGCAATTTTGAAGTTGCTACTGATATTCGTTTTGATAAAGGCATGTTGCCAAAATATCAACGCATCGGAACCTCCATTCCTCCGACTTTTCTGCGAGGGATACAGCTAGTAGTACTGCTATTTTGAAATATTATTGGAATAACCGCCATTCACTCACACAAGATTGGTACATAGGGGTGGGGGGACGAGCTTACGTTTACCAGAACGGCCTCATTCAGAGAGGGTTGCGGACGGGTCATGCGAGGCCGGGTCTTTTGGGCAGGCCTACAAGCAGCGTCATAGATGATTCGTCTCGGTTGGAGGGGCTGCTAATGAATTGCAGTGTAAGGCTAGGATATCCATTAGAGAGAAGATTCCGCTGCCTCACAAGAATTAGGCTCAGGGCAGCTGGGCGGACGATAAACTGCACTTAAATTAAGAGCGATGGCGCAATAACGCAGAGCTACAGACGCCCGAGCAGAGCAGACTCAAACTGTCCCAGACGTGTTCGGTTTTCGGACAGCTCGAGCTCGCCTTTGCCTTGTCGGAGCGTGAGCTTGCGGCGCACGTGCGGCCCGTAAACGCCTCCTCAGGCCGACCACACACGGTTCGGCCTATTCAAATGGGGCCACCTCGTGCCAGAATGGGCCTTTCTGTCTTCTTCTTGAAAGAGTTCGTCCATGGGACAAATTGGACGGCCGTGCTAAAGCTCGCCGGGAGGCGGTCGGTCTTGCTCTTCCGCGTACGCTAACAAGGTGGTTTCACAGGCCGCCGCCGGCGCTCGATAGGGTTAACGAGTTCGGCACCCCTCGTAAAGCACAACACAGTTGTTCGGCATTGCTGCTGGACTGGACGGCCTCCGACCATGGGCTGGTCTCGTGCCGTGGCAAAACAGCTAACTCTGAAGGATTTGCCTCGCGGTTTTGCGCTTTGCGCGGAAGTGCGTTCGGGTTGTGATAGTGTGGGCTTTCCCCGTAACGAAAGCAGTAGTTGCACGGTTCTTGCGCATACTGAATGCATTTGCTTCTCATTGGTATGTGACACGTCAGGGATATGATGGTTCATGATGTGAAGAGGCGTGACTTCAAAGCTGAGAAGTAATTCATCGACAATGAGGACAGAATAAAGCGCAGTAACCATAACACATTAGCTATGAGTACGATAGCGACAATGGTGAAGTGATAGTTGAAGGATTTGAAAAAAGGAAAACCAGCGAAGTTGAAGGGGGATTGCGGGCTCATATCTTCTCCATTTATGTCGTGCCACGTAACGATGATAAAGGATATGCTGATTGTTTTCAAACTGATGGCAACCACTGCCTTCCGTCCCCCTGGTTTCCGCTCCTTTGACGGAGAAAGGATAGACTCAGAGGGGATGACCCGCATCGGTTTCATAAAGTCGGCTGGCGCAGCGCAAAACACAGCTAGTAGCAGTTAGTGCCCGGGGTCCATCAGCCGGCCAGGCGGTGGCTGGGGCCCGCGCCGGGCCACCCGAGGCGGATGAAACGGGTCTCCAGCCAAACAACCGAGACTGTTGTAAACACTGCTGGACGAGGAAGCAGTCCTGAGGGCAACACAAAAAGGAAAGCATTTTTTATAAGTATACGCCACCTAAAGCAAGACACAAACTGCGAGGCTCAGGCTACAAAGAGAGGAGGAAAAACGGTCTCGAATTGCTCGAGTTAGAACTGCCGGTCCTGGACAAGTAGTGAAGGACCAACCACGCACGGCGAGACGGAGGACGTGTCGAACCACCACGATCCCAACGTTTTTTTTTTCCGTCCCCACGGCTTCTTAGCCTGTGCCCCAGCGACGTACCAGATGTGGCCATCGACTGCGTAAGTCGATGATAAATCGTCGCTGCTTGGCGCATCGTTCCTCATCGTGATGGATGCCGAGTCATCGGTTGGCAAAATATAAATTCCCAAAGGCGGCCTTAATTTTGACTTCCAATACGCCTCCCATTATGCCAGTGAAACGAACGACCTGACAGGAGAAAAACCCGGAGATGTGATCAATGTGATCTGGTATCAGCATGATCTGTTGTTAGTATGGTCTGTAATCGATATTATCTTACATCATTATTGTCGGTTGCGGTATGATCTGTTAACAGTATGATCTGGCATCAGTGTGGTCAGTATCAGTATGGTCAATATCAGTGTGATCAGTATCAGTATGACCAGTGCCACTATGATCGGTATCAGTATGATCTGATATAAGACCGTTTGTTGGATGCAATCATACCTAACAAAGAGAACGTGGTCGGACGTTTTTAAACCCATGCAGAGATGAGCAGCAGAAATGATTGGTCATGTTCATATATCGCTCGAGCGCAACAGGTCTCTCTCTCCACCGATCATGTAGCGTCCACGCGAATCTACGACACAAAAATTGCACCAAAATTAGGTAGGGAGAGGTTACATGTTAACTGAAAAATTCAACGCGTCGGCATGGCTTACGTAAAAATTCACGTTGACCAAATAAGTGGGACGGTAACGGATATTATCGACGAATGTTATTCATTTAACAAGGTTTCACTTGTGTATAGGTTATCATAGCCCATTATACATAGACCTTTATGACCTGACTATATAATTTGAATATTGTGTATAAACCAACGCTTATCAGTATGTTTCAAGTCATCGTCTATTCGAATTGGCGTAATCTAACTAGCCGATAAAAGACAAGACGTACCAAGATCGTTTTACACTTTTTTCGTAATAAACTCCCGAGCTACATAGTTAAGAGACGGTGTGAGGTAAAGTAAAAAGAAATCAGCGGTTATGAATAATTAAATGACACTGAACTTCCCGCTGATCATATGATATCTATCTCATTGATATTGATCATACTGTGCAGTAAACGCTAAACTTCCTTTCTCTAACAAACATAAAACCTGGCAGGAACCCTGGCTGAGGAACCGGGGTTCTCGGTAACTGCCCAAATCAGCTGTGCTGCACTTCAGTCCACCTGACATCACTCATACAGTGATGCCTAGCTGTGCCAGCGCGGCTGCCCGAGTATCGATCGAATCGCCTCGGTTTCGTGTCGGTGGCGGCTGCGACCTTAGTGAAGCCACGGGACCAGCCGCGCCACTAGCGCTAGCCCTAAGCTCCGTCCGCAGCTGCAACAGGGCCGCCAGCGTTAACCCTAAGCTCCGTCCGCAGCTGCAACAGCGTCGCCAGCGTTAACCCTAAGCTCCGTCCGCAGTTGCAACAGCGTCACTAGCGTTAATCCTAAGCTCCGTCCGCAGTTGCAACAGCGCCACTCGCGTTAACCCTAAGCTCCGTCCGCAGCTGCAACAGCGCCGCCAGCGTTAACCCTAAGCTCCGCCCACAGTTGCAACAGCGCCACTAGCGTTAATCCTGAGCTCCGTCTGCAGCCGAAACAGCGTCACTAGCGTTAACCCTAAGCTCCGTCCGCAGTTGCAACTGCTCCACTTGCGTTAACCCGAAGCTCTGTCTGCAGCTGCAACTGCGCCACTGGCGTTAACCCGTAGATCCATTCGCTGCGGCAAGTGTCACTAGCGTTAACCCTTGACCCCGTCAGCAATAGCAACTGCGCCGGTGTCAATGGCTGCAATGCGCTCAGAACGGCAGTTATTATTATGGAAAGAATCACGTCATCGATGTTCTTATTTCGTCAACTTTGCGTCGACGAATCTTGCAAAGAGTTGTGTTAGAAAAGGACGTCACGAAAAATGACACAATGAGACCATTTTGGTGTTACTAAATATGTGAGATAAGTTGTGGCGCGGCGCAGTGCCACAGTTACAAAGAGGCAACAAATGTTACATCAAATACAAACACTATCAGGCCAATAGTTTGTTGTGCTACTACGGCGTGCCATTCCTGCATTTTTAGTAACATTTCAGCCATTTCAGTTAGGAAATGGGCCTTGAATGCTCTAAACCATGTTTTATTGGCGCAGGCTCTTGCATCTCGCTCCTCATCTTCCGTTGCAGGGATGGCTTTCTGATATACCACCTAACTGTGCACACTTGGTCCATGCATGGAGCCAATAGCAGTTGAAAATGCAATGCAGGCCAATTCGTATTGTCATGCAAAACACATTTTTATCCCCCCTGGTTGCAGAGCTGTGGCTTCATACTGTCAACACCATGAAAATGAATAAATGCAAAGGTGAATGATAAGCAGCTAACCGATAAAGCAATGTGCATTTTTTGCAAGGTGCATGAAAGAGTCATGTTTTAAGATGAAAACCGTTACTTGGTGCTCAATGCATCTCAAACTATAGGCTAAGAGTTTGATCAATATATGTAGATGAGTCAGCATTGACACGGCTAGAGAGAATCCTCCACATTTGAAGATGTTTAAGTGACTGTCAGATATGATAAAAGAGACTCACTCATTACTCTTGATTTACTACTATACTAAGTCGAAAAGACTGCTCAAGATGACACCATTTATATTTTAATAATTATGCTCCTCAGTAGGCTGCTAATGCGTCATCATGACTTGCGCAACATTGGTTGAAAGCTAACTGACGACCGTTATGTCTGGCAATCGTGCTCACGAACGTCAGATGTGAATGATTTAAAAATTGATTTTTTTTTCGTGGTCTTGACCGCCGCAAAGTCAACACGGTGGCAGGATTTTAATAACGTTGTTATGACGTCATGGGTGCCCGGTGGACCTTAAAATAGACTGCACAAAATAATATACACATTTTTGCGGGCGTGTAGCTAAAATACCAAACGGCTTAGGTCTTAAGATGGGCAGGCCAGTAAACTGCACCGAACTTTATTCAAGATGGCTATTTCAGTTGGAGCACTCACTTTAAGAAAAATACTACTGAATCTGTAGGTTAAGGTTGCGTTGAACTGCATGTTTGATTTGAACAGCGTGTGAAATTTCAACATGCAGATAGCAGCATTTCTGTAGTAGGAATAAATTTACCTATTCCCTAGTACTGCCATTCCTCAAAATGATTTATTCCATTTTAACACTGAAATTCAAACACGAAAATTTAATTTAGACGCTTATGGAAATTTTGCACATCCCTAAATGAGTAACTCTCAATATTCGCAGTTTTCGGCAATGTGTCCACACCCCGCACAAACCAAAAAACAATAAAAGGCTGGTTGAATGGATACAATGCTGTCGAAGTAATGCAAAGTGCAACATTCATAATGTTACTTCAATCAGAAATATTGCTTACGCAAGTAATGACACATGTAATAGCAGAAAATAGTGTACACAATGGAAACGCATTGCAATCCTGCTTGCCTTGCGCAAGGCCATAGAGGTATGGCAGCTGCATGCTGTTTCATTAGGTGAATGAAATGCATGGAAGTGACACAATTGTTTGTGTTCACAAGGCTCATAAAAAAGGTTTTTCTATGTACCTCCTGGAAATCAAGGACAGTACTTTTGCATCCTTCACAACATCTCGCGAATTTTAACACGGGCCCGGGTGGCCGGCTAAATACCCTTCGCTCGGGTGGGTGGTCAATTTGACCCCGTCCCTGAGATCTCGGGAACTAAGAGAGCTAGAGACACCAAATTTACAGAGTGTGTCGACATGTACGTGAACTCACTTAGATCAAAATTTCAGGTTCCTAGGTCATGACCTTTGGGTCAAAAAAGTCAAACAAGGTCAAGTTCCAGGCCAGTCTCTAAAGTGCCCCCAAAACCTAGATAACCGCTTCTAAGCAAAAGCCTTTATTCTCATCCATGGCCAGTGACCTTCTTGGACCTTAAAAGGTCAAGATGAACAACATCACACAAGATTGCTTTGGGTTCGGAATTTGACTGAGCGACAGGGATTACACTAGGCGGTATGTCCTAAAACAGGATGTTGAACTGGGTCATTTTAGGTCAATGACCTATTATGACCTCTAAGAAGTCCATGGAAGGTGTAGAATGGGGTTCCTGCTATTAATAACCTCAAAATGAGCACCAGAAACTATCCAATACAGCAAGCCATAAAGTAACAAAACAGGTTGGTTTTGGCCTTGGTGTGACCTTCATACCTGACCTTAGGTCAGTGCAATTTGCTCATTCAACTGTTGTGTTGTCTAAAAAGCATCACAGAGATGTATGGCTTCGTCTAACACTGCGTTGTTGGATCAGATTAAAGGATTCCCTAGGAATTGGCACCGATGAAACCATGGTCTGAGTTTGACCTGCCACAGGTCAGCGACGTTACAAGGCACATCTAATTTCTTATGCCAAACGATCCGCTATTCAATTTGCTACAGCTTTGCAAAATTTGGCACGGCTACGCCGCGCCGTTCGGAAACCATTTTGGAAAAACCTTCGGAGGGTCAATTTGACCCCCACCCGAGCGCGTGTTAAGCGACTGAGAAGCAGCCAGGTTTTCGACAAAACGAGCAGATGCAGGGAAAAGGGATGACGGCAAGTGTCGAAGTTTTAGCCAAACTTTCATGTCATCATGCATTCAAAATTATTTGATAATTCCTCGATGTAATGCACTTCTTCTGAAGTTGTGACATTGATGGCTCACTAGCCAAGCATATCTGCACCTAAACGTTATTAAGACGGCAGCATGAATATTCATGGTAATACGACACCATGTTTTTAGAACTCTAAGGGAACAGACAATTTTGCAAGGCCGTATCAAGCAAGCTTCTACCCAGCTGTGACCTTGACAGGCCATATTGACCTGCCCGTACTGCCCAAATGAAGTATCGTCATACCATTGCAGGTTCAGCACGTTGGCAAGAGCATAATGAAGTTGTGCATTGCAATCATACACTCATATGGCGAAGGAAACGCTGGTATTCTTTATCGTTTGTCGTGATCACCTCACCTTGTTATGTTCAAATGCAAGCATGAAAATAGAGACAGAGACCGATAGATCACATTTTAATGGAAGTGCCAAAAGAATGCCAAAAGAATGCCAACAACCAAAAAACAAAACCTTGCTCCCCCTCAGCGCTGCACACTTAGTTCCCCACTCTCATCACGTCAAGATAACGGGAGGGCCGCTGGCACGTGATGGGTGCCAGCGTGCCTTGTGCCAGCGGTGTGATCACTCTACCGGTGATCACACCCATCTCAAGTGCCTGATTCACACAAACGACACATGCCATATAGGTGTGATGCCGCACTTGTACAGCCCACGGGACTATCACATTAAGCTTCCTCACAATTTCTTAGCCGATTTTTGACTCTAACACCATACTTCACCGTGAGTTGCATCCAAAACGCCATCACAGTTGGAGGTTCATAGAAATGCAACTCGTGATGTTTCACCTTTAAGACACAACTTCCTTGCAACAAATAGACCTTGTCATGCAATTGCTTTCAAATATTTAGTAAAAAAATAATTCAAATCTTAATCAAGTTCCCAAAACTTCAATTTACCTTTCAAGCTCATAAACCCGCGAAAGGTCCGTGTTCTGGTACACATCACGCCAACCCAGCTTTATGTAAAAAATACGTTAGTAAGACAAGAAAAACGCCAGCATGAGAAAAGAGACGGAGTTTACGGTCCTTTTTAGCATTGTAGATAGTGCCGTTCTTTGTTTGGTGCCGTGCTTTTTTGCAAGCAGTAGCGGGATTTTTATAATGTTGGCTACACAACGCTAAAAACTCACAGGTTCCGGGTGGCACCTCTTACTGATACATTTCGCTACATCAAGACAACGGGAAACCCTCGTGAGATGGGAAACTCTCGCCCACTCAGGAACGGCGCCTGCTGAATGGCTGAAACAAACTAGGCGTTTACAGGGGAAACAGGCTAGCTGAAACAGGCTAGGCATGAGGCTTTAAAAGCCTATGCAAAGAAGATTTAGGAATACGGTTGATGTTCCTGGCAACATGGAGAGCGTAAGGTAGTCGGGTAATTTTAAGAGCAAACGAGGGGAACTAATTATGCACACGCCTTTCATCTCCACTTCGCTTCACGTGCCGTGTGCCTCTGCTTTGCATTTTTAATTTCATTGCAAACTTGCCTTTACATCCTCACTTAACTGCAGAAATTGAAGTTTTTATTGGCATGGATCATTTGCAAACGAAACCATAGCACTTTGGCCACGCTGGCGGCGCCACTTCTATGAAGTAATTTTGTGCAAAGTGGGGTGCATCTTGGAGCGGCAGATCGGAGCCCGCGTCGGATCCATACCCTGTCGTTGTCAGAGGTCGCCAGGTAATTGGAATG